AATTTTTGGGATAACTTTCGAAGTAGGACTCGTATTTCGACGAAACCTTTTGTAACGTGTCCTTTGAGGTAAAATGCAACGTCCGACGTGTCGATCGATCGAATCGGGGACGTTTTTGAATTTTCGAGTTGCCCCCTCGGGAATATCGATTACGCGATAAAGTTTTGGAAAATTTCTATTCGAAAGGTCGTCTCCGTACGTGGGCACTCCGGAGCTCGATATTTTACGTCGGTCGGGGCCGTCGACGCGTCTCCGAGTTTCGTTTGGCACATCGAGACACGAAAAAAAACACGTCTTTCGGTCTCGGCGGCTGCGCCGCCTCGCCTCGCTTCTTTGTTCGATTCCGGAACGCACACCGATCGATACGGAAGAGACGCGGACGTAGAAAACCGCATCGTTTTGGTCCTCGGAGTTTCCGAATAACCTTTAAAATACGAAATTTACCGAAGAGAAGAGGGTGGGGTGGGGGGGGAGGGGGGGAAGTGTCGGACGTAAAGTCGGAGAATACCGATACGAGATCGACTTAAAAAACCGCATCGTTCTAACCCTCGCGGTTTTCGAACAGAGTACGTTTAAAGGTTTTTAGGGGGGAGGGGGGGATGGGAGGTTAACGGAGTGGTGCCGGGGTACGTAACGGACTTCGAAGAGAATACTCCGATCGAAGACTTGCCAAAAACTTACCTCCTCCGAACGAAAATTGACACTTCGCTCGGCTTCGGCGGCTGCGCCGCCTCGCCTCGCGGCTTTTCGCGATTCGCCGTCGATTCCCGAACGCACTCCGATCGATACGGGAGATCGACGTGGACGACCGTCTCGTTTTAAGAGTCGGCGTTCCCTAATAACCTTTAAAATTTGAAATTTACCGACGATATGGAGGGGGGGAGGGGGGAAATGTCGGACGTAAGTTCGGACGATGCCGATACGAGATCGACGCAACAAACCGCGTCGTTCTAACCCTCGCGGTTCCCGAACAAACGTCGAAAAGGCGAAGTGGTACGTTTGAAGGTCCGGGGGGGGTCAACGGAGGGGCGGTCGGGGTGCGAAAGGCGCGTCGAAGAAAAGACTCGATCGACTTTCCCAAAATTCGCCCTCTCCTATGCCGCTCGACCGCCGTAAATATTTTTTATCGACGATCATTCCGAATCTCGCGATCGGGTCCGAGTGTCGTTCGAAAATTCCTCCCTCCCGAACCCACCGGGAGAATTGGTCGTATGACGCGTCGTAATCCGTCCGACGTTCGGGTCCGCATTTGAGCGATCGTAAGTGTTTCTTAGGTCGTCTCGTTTCCGCGGCGCGAGGGATAAAGCGGAGCGACGTCGATAAGGGCAAACTTCGCGCCCCCCTCCCCCCCAAACGGCCCATAGTTTTTGAATGGGACCCCGTACGTCTCACGCGGGACGGTCGGGACTATCGATCGATCGCGTTTCGAGGGGGGGAGTAGGGCTACTTTTCGAGCAATTTCGCTCTCTTTCCGCTCCCGTTTTCTCGTGCGCGTCCTCCCCCGCGGGGGGGTGTCGCGACTTTCGCGATCGAGTACCTCGAAAGCCTCGACCCTCCTACCCCCCCTATCCGCGAGCTCGATTTTTCCAGTTCGACGGGCGACCCTCGGCGAATTTTTCTTCGGAGGTGCGATTTTGGGGGGTGACAGCGGGGGGGTGAAGGGAGATTTTGCGGAGGTAGCGGGGCATCGTAAAAATCGCGCATTCGGAATTCGAGGCTCGTGTAAAAATTTCGCGAAATTCTACTCGGCCGATTTTAAATTATTTTCGAAAACGTCGGGAACACGTTGTTATCTTCTTTTAATTATAACAATGCCTAGAAACGTACACATACACTGGGCTCTATAATTACATATACATATATATAAAAATGAATTTTTAGCATTTGAGGTACCTACCTTTCGTTGAACCTCGATCTCGCTTAGCTTAGAGTAGATCTTATTCGCGCAACCCGTTTATCGTCCACGACGTAAGGGTGAGATTTCGACGACGGCGACGCCGGCGGCGCCGGCGCCGCCGCAGCCGGCGCCGTCGGCGCGCGTCGTCGGTCGTCGCCAAAATGAGAATCTCGGTAACGAAAAGTCGTAGGAAGGCGTGCGAGGTATCGTCGGAAAGGTCTCGGCGGCGCGGTTAGGATGGGCCGTGTTAAGTTTGGGCGCCGGCGGCGCCGACGCCGGCGCGCGTCGTCGGGCGTCGCCGAAATGAGAATTTCGGTAACGAAAAGTCGCAGGAAGGCGTGCGAGGTATCGTCGGAAAGGTCTCGGCGGCGCGGTTAGGATGGGTCGTGTTAAGTTTCGGCGCCGGCGGCGCCGACGCCGGCGCGCGTCGTCGGGCGTCGCCGAAATGAGAATTTCGGTAACGAAAAGTCGCAAGAAGGCGTACGAGGTATCGTCGGAAAGCTCTCGGCGGCGCGGTTAGGATGGGCCGCGTTAACTTTCCAACTAACTGCAATCTAACCTAACTGCGCGCGTCGACCTAACCTAACCGAGCATTTCGACCTAACCTAACGTGTCTATCTAACCTAACCTAACTTAACCGCGATCTAACCTAACTGAGCATTTCGATCTAACCTAACACGTCGATCTAACCTAACCTAACCGCGCACGTCGACCTAACCTAACCTAACCTAACCTAACTACACATCGCGACCTTAGCTAACGCGTCTATCTAACCTAACCCAATTGCAATCTGACCTAATTGTGGGGGAAGGGGGGGGGAGGGGGAGGGGGAGGGGGTTGATTATTTGTGTAAAACCACCTTCGATTTCCCGATAAATAAGAAATATACGCGATTTTTTACAAATATCGACGTTCGAGTGCCCAAAAAAGTCACTCGGGGACCGCGTATTATCGCCAAACTTTACCTCTCACCTAATCTCGTAGTGTAGAGTCGATTTTGGCAAAAAAAAAAAAATTTAATTTTTCGTCAAAATTTTTTCGAAAATCGCCGTTTTCATATCGATTACGATTTAACGCACTTGCGATCCTATCGTGGGGACTCCGGGGCAAATTTATAGAAGGTCGCATCCAAAGTGATCGTTTAGTATCGAAAAGTCCCCGGAATTCCACCGGCAAGTGCCCGTTTTGCGCCCATTTTCGTGAGCAATTTCATTTTTTTTTCCACGACCTCTCCCGGAGACGCCTTCGATTTTTTGGGGGAGGTGAAGGTGTCGTAGAATAGCCTCGTCCTTCCTCTTTCGATCGCCGCCTTAACCTCTCGAATACCTCGAATATTGACGAAATTACGAATTTTTTTGTAAAGGGGCGCAAAATTCGAAAAACAAAAAGCGCCCTCTAGCGTCGAAACCGTAAATCTTTTATTAGAATTTTTTCTCGTTTTTGCAATCTCCGCGTCAAAACGCATAAGATGACGTCGAAAAAACGACGATTTTTGACAATTTTTTTTTTCGATTTTTTCGAAGGAAGGGGATAGTATGGAAATTTTTTCGTTTTTTAATTTTTGGGATAACTTTCGAAGTAGGACTCGTATTTCGACGAAACCTTTTGTAACGTGTCCTTTGAGGTAAAATGCAACGTCCGACGTGTCGATCGATCGAATCGGGGACGTTTTTGAATTTTCGAGTTGCCCCCTCGGGAATATCGATTACGCGATAAATTTTTGGAAAATTTCGATTCGAAAGGTCGTCTCCGTACGTGGGCACTCCGGAACTCGATATTTTACGTCGGTCGGGGCCGTCGACGCGTCTCCGAGTTTCGTTTGGCACATCGAGACACGAAAAAAAACACGTCTTTCGGTCTCGGCGGCTGCGCCGCCTCGCCTCGCTTCTTTGTTCGATTCCGGAACGCACACCGATCGATACGGAAGAGACGCGGACGTAGAAAACCGCATCGTTTTGGTCCTCGGAGTTTCCGAATAACCTTTAAAATACGAAATTTACCGAAGAGAAGAGGGTGGGGTGGGGGGGGAGGGGGGGAAGTGTCGGACGTAAAGTCGGAGAATACCGATACGAGATCGACTTAAAAAACCGCATCGTTCTAACCCTCGCGGTTTTCGAACAGAGTACGTTTAAAGGTTTTTA